AGCAGACATCATTATGAAAATTATTGAGGAGAAGTGATATCTGCCTGAACAGGTTTTTTGTTTTGTTTTGTTTTGTTTTTACTGTGAATATATTTTTTATTTAGTCATTCTGTTTACAATTGAAACTCTGGGAATTCAAAATTAATATCCTTGCCCGTGAGCTTCTTATAGACACCAGAAAAACTTTCAACCTTGTGTTCCACATTGTTTTGCTGTGCTTTGTCCAAATGAACCTTTATGAGCCAGCTGCCATCCAGTTTCACGTGGATTCTCTTGCCCACAATTTTACTTGGAAAGACCAGGTCCTCAAGGATTGCATCATGCACAGCTGTCAGTGTACAGCTCCTGGGATGCTTTTGTTTATTTTTTGTACGGCTTTTTTGAGTTGGCTTAGGCAGAATTCTCCTCTGAGCAATAAAGACGACATGCTTCCCACTGAACTTTTTCTCCAATTCGCGTACTAGCCGGACTTGGATTTTCTGGAAAGATTTTAGTTGAGGAACAGGAACAAAGATTATGATGATAGCTTTCTGGCCACCACCAACTTCAATTTCCTTGGCTGCTGTAATATTCAGCTCCTTGAGCTGAGCCTTGAGGTCTGAGTTCATCTGCAGCTCCAGAAGAGCCTGGGAGATACCGGACTCAAACTCGTCTGGCTTCTCGCCATTGGGCTTCACAATCTTGGCGCTCCAACTGAACATGGCTTTCTCCTTGGTGAGCGCCGACTTAGGACCTGAACAGGTTTTTAATGCAGACAGAAGTGCCCTATTCTGGGGAAAAAAAAAAAAAAAAGCTACAAAGAACATTTATTAAGAAGAGAAGCAAGCACAAGGATTTAAGGCAGGAAGAAATAGGCCAACTCTACTGTTTTGTGCAAATGAAGGTCGGGTTTATCATCAGGACTACCCTTATCTATAAAACTGCTAACCCCTAACCTTTAAGGGAAAAGATAAACACCAGCTTCCAATCTTTTGGTTGTACAACAAGAAAGCCTGGACAACGAAAACTCTTTCTCTGGATTGGTTCCATTGATGCTTTTTCCGGTGGTTCACTACCCCAAACACAACATCTAGATCAGGGGATCATGAGGACTTTTAAGGCTCATAACACACAGTACTTTACTCCATAGAAAGGACTGTCGACACTACGGAAGAGAACCCCAACAGAAATCATGAAAGTGTGGAAGGATTCCATTATTGAAGATGCCATCGTTATTTTAAAAAAGCCATGAAGCCATCAAACCTGAAACAATAAATTCCCACTGGAGAAAATTGTGTTCAGATGTGCATGACTTCACAGGATTTATGACAGAGACAAAGAAATTAGGAAAGAAATGTGGAGGATATGGCAAAGAAAATGTGGGAAGGTAAACGGTTTCAGGATACTGATCATGGAGAAATCAAGAGCTAATAGACACCACACCAGAGGAATTAACAGAATATGCCTGATGGAAATGGGGCTTCCAAACCAGTGCCAGATGATGAGAAAGAAAACACCGAAGCAGAACAGAAAACAAATGGATATTAGACATCTGGAGAAGGGTTCCAATTATTCAAGACTGCTTTTGACTTCTTTTATGACACGGACCCTTCGATGATATAGGCACGGAAACTAAAGCAAAGGGTGGAAAGACAGGTACTGTGTAGAAACATTTTTCAGAGAGAAATTACTATGTAAAATCTGTAAAGTTTCACTAAATGCACTTGCCTCTCTTGCCTCCCTTTCCACCTCCTCCACCTCTTCTGCCTCTGCCACCCCTGAGACAGCAAGACCCAGCCTTCCTCTTCCCCCTCTTCCTCCTCAGCCTACTCAGTATGAAGGTGACTAAGATCATTATGAAGACCCACTTAGTGAATAGTAAATATATTTTATTTTCCTTATTATTATTTTTTTTGGGGGTCTGAGTCTCGCTCTGTTGCCCAGGCTAGAGTGCAGTGAGCTTGGCCTGGCATAAATCAATTAGCATGGTCCAGGTTAGGGAGGTGACCTGAGGTAACCCAATCAGACTAACGGGAATAATTTTTTTTTCTCTTTGATTGGTGCTGTCTCCTTACTGCCATCAATGACATATAATCACAGCTGCTGCTTGAACGCATTTTGGGGAAGCCTAAGATATGGCTAACACAGAGGGCAAAACTGAAACTATCTCAAAGAAATGGAGCTAGCTCCGTGAACTTACCACAAAGGGTGTCTGCTTTATCTCTGAAACTGCTGCTATGTGACAGAAATAAATTTATTGTTTTTTTTTTTTTGAGACGGAGTTTCGCTCTTGTTACCCAGGCTGGAGTGCAATGGCGCGATCTCGGCTCACCGCAACCTCCGCCTCCCGGGTTCAGGCAATTCTCCTGCCTCAACCTC